AGTGTCTGGAAAGCTGCCCGGTGGAAAAGGACCTGGGGGTGTTGGTCGACAGCCGGCTGAACATGAGCCAGCAGTGTGCCCAGGTGGCCAAGAAGGCCAACAGCATCCTGGCTTGTATCAGAAATAGCATGGCCAGCAGCAGGACTATGGAAGTGATTGCCCCCCTGTACTCGGGACTGGTGAGGTTGCACCTCAAATACTGTGGTCAGTTTTGAGTCCCTCATTATGAGAAAGACATTGAGGTGCTGCAGCATGTCCAAAGAAGGGCAACGAAGCTGGTGAAGGGTCTGGAGCACAGAGTTTTATGAGGAGTGGCTGAGGGAGCTGGGGTTGTTTAGCCTGGAGAAAAGGAGGCTGAGGGGAGACCTTGTCACTCTCTACAGCTGCCTGAGAGGAGGGTGTAGCAAGGTGGGTGTTGATCTCTTCTCCCAAGTAACAAGCAATAGAACAAGAGGCCTCAAGTTGCACCAGGGGAGGCTTAGATTGGATGTTAGGAAAAATTTCTTCACCAAAAGGGTTATCAAGCATTGGACCAGGCTGCCCAGGGAAGTGGTTGAGTCACCATCCCTGGAGGTATTTAAAAGATGTGTAGATGTGGTGCTTAGGGACGTGGTTTAGTGGTGGACTTTGCCGTGCTAGGTTAATGGTTGGACTTGATGGTCTTAAAGGTCTTTTCCAACCTAAATGATTCTATGATTCTGTTGTATGATTTCTTCTCTACTTGTGGTCCAGCTTTCCTCAGAGGAACAATCAGTCCAGGTGGTTACCCAGTAGGGCAACAGAGAGCAAAAGTAGTAAAGGAATGCTACTTCCCAACTTCCAGAAACTATGTTCAAAGTACTTTGAAAAAGTAACAGGCAAAAAAGAGCTTCTGTGGATCTTTTATGATTATTTACATTTGGTTATTGGGTGGGGGCGGGGGGGGGGGAACTTCTGGAGTATTAGTATTTCTTTTTACCTCTAGACAGTAAGTGTATCGGTGAGAGAGGTTTTCTTGCCATTCGCCCAAAAATGGTGGTTCACACTGATAGCAGAATGATACAGAAAGGTCCAGATGTGGTTTTAAGTTTAAAACATGTTCTGATAACCTTTGTATGTCCAAGGCAGATTATTCTGATTTCCTGTTGATAGCAGTGAATAGAACATATATATGTTTTCTTAAAATTTCTTATTTGTTTTTTATTTACTTTTGAGTTAGATTTTAAAAAAGTGTTTTTCCCTTGCATCTAAAGACAGACTACTTCTAAGTGGATGTCCTGGCCATTACCCATCTATTTTATTGAAGTATATTACTCTTGTAATTACGCATTTGGTTTGTATTTACTCATCCTCATATGCTGGTTCTTATATCTCTTTCCAGAGATCAAAATGCATTATTAATGTTTGAGTTGCTTCAGGGCATAAGGAAGTGAGTGAGCTTGCTAGTAGAGTTACTGCCAAAGGAAGAATTGAAGCTATGGGATTAAGTACATCCTTAAGAGGATGATGATCATTCTACAACTGTACAACTGTATTGTAGTCTAATATGTTGCTGATTTTAAGAGAAAGAAAAAAAAAAAGCTCAAAAAAAGACTACCTTATGTCCACTTAGTGAGTTTGGGAATCATTAGAGACCTTTTCCCTGTATTGCTCAATCCCATAACAGGGTGCAGCAGCTTTGGGGTAATTTCTGGAGAAGTGTGTCATGGTTTGGAGCTGAGGGTATATGATGAACTTGTACAGATATATTATGAGCAGTTTCTTACACACTTATAAAGAGGGAGCACTATGGATAGCTTTTGGTCAGCTTAAACTCTACTCAGGTCTTGCTTGCAGATGTTGTAATTAAATTGCTTCCACCTAACAGGGATACCTGCGAGTGGGAACTGGTGAAAGCAAGCACTGCAAATTCAAGGCTTTCAGAGCAATTCTGCAGCAGAGATAAAATCTGAAAACAACAGATCCTACAACAGATGAAAGACAATAATGTCAAACAAAAAAGAATAGAGAGTCTTGTGGTTTTGTCTTAGCATTTATGTTCTGTCACCCATGTTGTTACAGAATTCAGTAAAGTACACTTTGGGTGAGAAAGCTTTCTTTTATTTTTTGATAGCAAACGTTTCAAATGCAACTAGAAAGTCTCCAGTTAACTTCTAGTGGTGCTGAATGAGGTGTAGTGAGATAAATTACAAACAGATATAAACATTGCCTTAACTTGCTGCTTGGTTATGAGAGCAGTGAGAGTGAAATAAAAGCTGCAACATGGCAAACAAGAAGTGCTAACTTGCCTGAAGATTCCAGGATGTATCTGTCTTGCTGTAAATCGTCAGCTGAAATCCACTGTAGCTGCTTATTATCCCCAAAGAGGAATTACCTAGTGGCGGTTCATCAGCGTATACAACTTGGGCTTGATCTCAGTCAAATGCCCACAGAATGAGTCACACGATGGAGCAGTCTATATCCATGGTCAGCACTAGCTGTCAATTCTGTTGTCAGCTTTTTAAAGAGGGACTGCAGATGAGTGGAGTGTTTGGTTTTTTTTTTTCTTTCTTCTACTGCTATGGTTCATTTTTCCAATTCAGTGACTGTAGTTTTAGCAAAGGTATAGAGAAATGTGCTCTGTAGTTCCTACTGAAGTGCTTGGTTTTCCAGAATTGATTGGAAAGCGCTCCATTTCTTTTGGTCTTTTGCCTGATTCCCTGGACATCAGTACCACAGGCAAGCTTACAGTAGGTACTTCATCTACAGGGCCTGTTGGATGGATTTAGAGGACGTGTAGTTCTTCCAGGCTCGCTTCTGGTGGTAACCGCTGTGATAACAAAATATTTCTAAACTACTCACAGCTTTACAGCTGTGAGGTAAAGAAGATTTACAGACAGGGAAACAGAGGAAGTAAGAGAAGGTTCATGATTTCCTGAAGGTAGCAAGGAAGCTGTAGCTCCCATTCTCCTTTTGCACAAACCTTAGCCTTTCTGTTTACAGTTCCCTACAGCTGGGTTGGTATTGTTCATCTCTCTGAAAAATACCAGTACTATTTTTAATAATAGTGTATGTGTGAAAGAAGTTTCAAATTTAAAAGTAAGATCTTTAACAAAGTATAATTTATGTTGTCATAGCTTTCATACAGAATGTGAGCACATTGCCTAAGGTGAGTATCTGGTCTTGCAAATTACTCTTAAGTAAATGAACTTGATAAGGAGTACGCTGTTACATATAAGATGTACTGTAATGTTTGATAGAATGAGTTCATGGCCTCTGTGAAGTTGCATGTGCTTTTGTTAGTTGAAAAAAAATTAAATTTATGTGAATATATTCCATCCTGTAACATGGCATAGAAAAAGAACTAACCTTTAGAGATTGTGTTGATTGCTAGTGTTTTGTCTTATGCAAGTGTGACCTATGAAGTTAGAGGATTTAATTTAATTAAATGGGGTGTATGTACTATGCTTTGGATTCTGGGACTGATTTCAAAACAAAATTGTAGGAATGCCTAGAAGGTGGTATACTCAAGAGGTAACACAGCTCCATAACATTATTACTATTTATTAGAATAAAATCCTAACACGGCAAAAAATACAGCAACTGTGTGAATGCCAGTATTTGTTTTTTCTTACAGTTTCAAAGAACATTCGAATCTTTAAGAAATGTATCCAGTAAATCTGATCTACAGAAAACGTACCAGAAGTTTCGAAAAGATCTGGAAAATCTTGATTATTTGGCATACAAACGTCAGCAGGTAAGAACATGGAAGACATAGAATACTGTGCGTAAACATGGTGGGTGGTAAAGCTGATGTGTTTGATAGAGTTATTTTTCTACCAATAGGGTTTTATGCTTTGTGTAATGTCATCAGGTAAGCCAGTAGGAGGGGTGACAATTCTATTTAATGCATATGATGTTGGACTGCATGGTTTTTGATTTCTCAAAAGAGAGAAAGATAGATAAAGCAAGTGAGTGAGACTTGGCAGACTATTAAACTTTTCATTGACACGTAACAATTTTTTTTTTTTTCATTAAAGGGCATAAAAGTACTGTTTGTGTTTTTTGACTTGAAAAATGAACTAAATCCACATAAGTTAATGGAATCAGATAATGACTGTGCATGCAAACCACTTTTTTTTTCATCTTTAGAAATGAATTTACAAGACTAGATTGCATAAAGCTTTGAAGTGTACAGTCTTTGACTCATGCTTGCAAGATCAAGGTTAAATTGTTAACATGTGTTTAACGTTGGACATACTTTCTGTCACTTACGCACGGCTTCTGTGAAAATGTCAGCTCTCATAATAGGTCTGCACTTCTTTTTTTGTGTTCTTGGTAAAATAAGACACTGCTTCTTTCAGAGCATACTGATGAAATGCCTTAACATTTCTATGTGGGGGTTGTTTTGGTTTATATTTTTCTGCATTCTGTCGCTTGGTGTCAGTGTTGTCAAACACTTCATTTGCTCGGGGGCACATCACTTACAGTTGTTTATATCAGTAATTGATAGTTAAAAATTAGGAAAGGGCTCAGGGACAGATGGTATCTGAACACATGAATACTTGATTCTTGAAATAAGGAGGTCAGGGAGCAATTGGCTTGGGTGAGTTTCAGTGTGGTGGAGCTGTTATTCTGGTAGCGCTATAGCATAGTTCTTTGTGCCCTTTGACATGGGGCTGCGAGCAACCAAAAGACAGTGTTTTAACTGGCAGCTAATGTGGGTTTATGTTATCTGATCTCATAATTATGTCAAACATAATAAATGTCACATCTGTAAGGGCTTGGAGAGCATTTCTGAGCCAGGGAAGTGTAACTTCTATAATTACTTCTCAGGCTACCATCATACTTTCATTGGGAGTAGCTTTCTCTAGTCTGAATTCTCACTCTTCACAAAATTCCTTGTTATTTCAAGTGATACATGTCTGGTTCTCTAGCAGACTCTGAATATGCTTCAATAACATACTGCATTTCACCTTGAGCAGGGCATATTTTCTCCTCTTTCAGATCTTCACTACCCTTCTCATCTCAACCCTTTGCACTTGCAAGTCATTTGGAGAATCTCAACATCCTTGTTTAATATCAAGCATGCATATATGTCCCCATGCTGTTTCTGCTCTATATTTAACTGTGTTGGCAGAAGCTTTTGCATTTGGAGGTACTAAAGGAGTATTAGGTATAAAATCACTTCCTGCTTTCAGACACAGAACAGAAGATAGGCCATTCTATCTTCTCCTCTGTGGTTGAATCTTTCTAAAATTTTATACAATGCTATTAAGAAAATAAACTAAGCAAAGGCTGAAATTATTAAAAAAAAAAACAAACCAAAGCTCAACCCCCAAAGCAAAAACAAATGAAGGAGATCAGAGATGTTCTCTGTGTCTTAGTTAATTTGTATTGTATACCTGACCAGTAGTAGTCTTACGGTTCTGTTGAGTACTATTTTACCTGGTTTTGATACTGAGATTTTCATCTCAATAGAACTTGCTTGGAGAATCTGCAGTAAAGGATTTGAAAAGCTGCCATGTCTGTCTATTATGGAAGATGCTTTGAATTGGGTGCTGTTTTGGGAAGGAAGTGATCTGTCCATGAAAGATTAAGATTTAGTTTGATTACTGTGCAGTAAGTAAAGCACAGACCTGGATTGGGACTGAAGCTGTTCTGAGTTTGTGACGTTTGTATCCGAGTTTGTGGAGCATGCGCATCTAGTTGATGACAACTTACATGCTCTCTTATTAGATTAAGGGTATATTCATAGCCCCACTGGCAAAATGTTGAGTCACTACCATCTGTTTGGAGACAAACAATTGTATACAGAATGAATCCATTCATGGTGAAGTAAGTGTTCTATGTAGTCTAAGTAATGAATATTGCTTTTGAATGAAATATAGTTATCTGCTTCTGTCCTTATTTTTTAGATATGAGAGATGAGGTGCAATATAGCAATGTAATTCTTCACTGTTGAAGTTTACAGGACAGATGGGAAATCAAAACTGTGCTTTTTAAAGGGTGTTTAAAATGACCTGCGTTGACTCTGGTTTATAAATATAGACCAAACTTCTATGAGTGGTAGAAGTATACAGGAGGCAAATCATTTTTAACTGGCAGTTTTCGGAATGGGATAGAAGATCTTGAGTTTTCAGAGGGCCAGCAGATTGCCAACAGAAATATCTCTTTAAAATGGGCAGTGAGGTCAAGAATTCAGTTCTGGCTTGCTTTATACAAAAACCCCAAAGTTGTTAGCGTATGTCGGTTTTCTTCTCAGAGCTTTCAGGTTCTAATTTTGCAAATAGGCTGAGTGTATGTATGAGCTGGCATGGAACTGGTCAGGGTGGCTAAATTCTTTGGTGATTACAGAGGAGGAAGATGAGCAGTTCTTGGAGTTAGAGACTTTAATGTTGCAAAGCTGAACTGTGTGGATGCCGCCTAGTACTGTGGTCAAGAAGCCTGAATGATGCTCTTTGCCATTCTTCTGTGTCCCAAACATAGTATGAAATATTGAATTGCATCTATATTCCAAGTCTAATTACCGTTGCTGTCTGCGATGAACTCCCACCATATTCAAGTCTGCTCTCAAATATATTGCTGCGTGTCAGAGCTTTCCTTCTTACTGTTGGTTGGTGGAACACACATCTCCATCTCTACAGACTTGCCATACTTTTCTGAGAGAGATGGCTTATTCGCCAAATTAGTTGGAAGTACGTTTAACTTGAGCCAGATGAAGATAAAATACAAACAACACATCTATACTCAACAGTGGAATGTAGGCTGCATGTTTCTAGGGATGGGTTGCATCCACTAGAGAAATTCGTTTGGGTGGAGAATGTCAGTTTATAGCCAGTCTGCCATTTTGAAGCCTTATAAGAGATACCTGTCTCCAAGAAATGTAGTTTTTCTTTCTTGTCCAGGAGATAGGCTGGCAATTCCTTTGAATTAAAACAAGCTTTTAATTTCCTTGATACTGACTGTCTGAAATTTGACTAAAAATCAATAGCTCCATGCCACAATGAGTAGTAAACCTATTCTCTTGCTCTGTGACTTATTGGAATGCTTCCAATAAGAGTTAAGTAAGCTTTACACTGAGCGTTGTTTTGTATCAGCCTAAATATTAACACATCTGCAATGTGAATATTTCCAGGGGAAATGAGATAGGACAAAATGGTAAAGCACTTTGGGATCTTAGTGATAGATCGCAACACTCTTCTTGGGATACAGTAGTAGGTGCACATTTCCTTTTTTCTTATATAGGACCTTGTTCCTATTGAAGGGAAGTTGTCCATATATTGTTCAGCTGGAACAGTACTGGTTTAGGGCCTTTCATTATAATGATCTTACTGTAAGGTCATTTCAGGAGTGTTGGGCAATAGCTACAAGAAAAATGGAATTATAATCAAATTCAGCAGTATCTAGCACCTGTCAAACTGAAAAATTATTGCTGCTGCTCTTAGCGTTAACAATGCCTTTAGGATGCCTGTAGTAGTGCTGGCTGTAATTCAAAGACACTTAGTTTTTGCCTAGAAGTGTCCGGCAATGTGGTAATCTAACAGTTGACAACAGAACTTTAGTATGTGAACACACACAAAAGCAGTATCCTATTGTAAAGTTATGCTAATTTAAGGTTTACTTATTTGATTTTGATTGTATCCCCTCAAGGTAATTGTGTGTTGAAGGACTGAATCTATGTGAAACCATTTTGATTATTCCATTTTAAAGTCTTTTTAGAATTGCTTCCTGATGATTGTTGTACTTAGAAATGTTTTAAGAAGTTGTGTTAGAAACTGAAGGAGTTAAGGGCTGTATCAGAGACATTTATGGGGTACACAGTAATTTACTTTGCTTAGGGGAAATAATGCTTCCAGGAGCTGGAGCAGAGCCCTTAACCTGTTTTACTTCAGAGCAGTCCATCGTTATCAGTACTGCAGTTGTCTTCATGATCACACAGGTCAAATTTACATTTAGAAATTTTTAATTTTGGAATGAAGACTTGTTTCTACAGTCAAATGGTATTTCTCTGTGTTAAAATGGAGTAAGTGCACTTTTATTCTCTACCTTTGATTGTTCACTTTGCTTTTTAAGATGGCATTGTGTTGAGCATGAGATTTGTTCACCAAAGTGATCTACTCTAGAAACTGGAGCCAAGTTTTCAAAAGAGATTATCGCCTATCAACTGGCAGGCTTATTATGTGACAAACACTTTAAAAAGTAGATTGAAAAGTGGAGGGAGTTCAGGGTAGAGGTGAATTATTTGTTGTCAAGAAAACAAGCATTATGATGAAAAACTTAAGGAGCTCTGTCATTGTAGCTTATCTGGAAAAGGTTATGGCTTAGAAATATCACAAATAGAGGTGCTTAACTAAATCTTTATTCTAGTACACAGAAGTATGACAAGATCCAATGAATGGAAGTCAGAAAAGTTCAAACCAGAAAGCAAATGAATGTTTTTGACAATTAACTACTGAGATGGCTTAGTTAAGAGGTGCAGTACATTAATTACTGCTTGTAGCCTTTCTATCCATAATCCATGCCTTTCTAAAAGATGTGCAGTGACTGAGATGCAAATCAAAGGGCAGGAATTATTATGGAAATTTTTAAGGCTTGTGCTGTTCAATGAATTTGAATGAGAATTCATAATTTTTTTTTCTAGACTTAAGAATGACGGTACATTTGGTTTTTTATTTGAGGGTAAAGGCAGAATTATGTCTTTTGAATTGCCATACTGGATTAATAAATGGGTGAGTTTGTTTACTTTTGTATTTA